GTATACAAGACATAGTCGGCGATGGCCCATCAATCCATGTACCGATCTTATGGGCATACAATTTACATATGTATACAAGACAATAGACATAGTCGGTAATGGCCCATCGATCCATGTACCAATCTTATGGGCATACAATTTACATATGTATACAAGACATAGTCGGTGACGGCCAATCAATCCTTGTACCAATCTTATTGGTATACAATTTACATATGTACACAAGACATAGTCGGTGATGGCCCATTGATCCATGTACCAATCTTTTGGGCATACAATTTACATATGTATACAAGACATAGTCGGTGATGGCCCATTGATCCATGTACCAATCTTATTGGCATACAATTTACATATGTATACAAGACATAGTCGGTGATGGCCCATCGATCCATGTACCAATCTTTTGGGCATACAATTTACATATGTATACAAGACATAGTCGGTGATGGCCCATTGATCCATGTACCAATCTTATTGGCATACAATTTACATATGTATACAAGACATAGTCGGTGATGGCCCATTGATCCATGTACCAATCTTTTGGGCATACAATTTACATATGTATACAAGACATAGTCGGTGATGGCCCATTGATCCATGTACCAATCTTATTGGCATACAATTTACATATGTACACAAGACATAGTCGGTGATGGCCCATAGATCCACGTAGCAATCTTATGGGCATACAATTTACATATGTATACAAAACATAGTCGGTGATGGCCCATAGATCCATGTACCAATCTTATGGGCATACAATTTACATATGTATACAAAACATAGTCGGTGATGGCCCATAGATCCACGTAGCAATCTTATTGGCATACAATTTACATATGTATACAAAACATAGTCGGTGATGGCCCATAGATCCATGAACCAATCTTATGGGCATATAATTTACATATGTATACAAGACATAGTCGGTGATGGCCCAACAATCCATGTACCAATATTATGGGTATACAATTTACATATGTATACAAGACATAGTCGGTGATGGCCCAACAATCCATGTACCAATATTATGGGTATACAATTTACATATGTATACATGACATAGTCGGTGATGGCCCAACAATCCATGTACCAATATTATGGGCATATAATTTACATATGTATACAAGACATAGTCGGTGATGGCCCATAGATCCACGTAGCAATCTTATGGGCACGGACACTACATGCTATTTAAGGTATTCCACATTAAATTTCTTGTAAAAACTACATTTGCCTGAAAATACGCAATATGAGACAATAGTTACTAATCGTTGTACTGAGTAACTATTAATAATACTGCCTACTATATTTAATATATGAGCAGCTTATTCCTGTTTCATCTGAAAAAACATACTGCGTACTGTCTCCCATGTGAACTCAAAGTATGTCCTACATTATTTAAACGACTTAAATCGGTAATAGTTGTAAAATATTTTTTTAAATAAAACTACATAAAAAGACCAAATATCACCAAAATATTGTTTTAAACACAACTGCATGGTCAAAGTAACCCTGCGCAAGGTCAATGTCACATAAACTAAGGCTCGAGCAGTAGCCTTCGGTTATGGCCACACTATTATGTGAATCACACATAAAACCATCAGTGAAAGATCGACAGTTAGAGGCTTAGCCTATCAAAATTGCTGCGTATTCGAAGTTTCCCCCAGGATCCCCGTACGGTAATTTTGTACGGTAATCCCCAAGGTTCGCTTGACATCACTGGATTTCAATAGATGGTGCCCTCTGGAGACATTGACGCAGCGTCGGTATAAGCAGCAATTTCATTTTTCGCATTTCGGCGATGACCGTTTCGAATTTGCACCAATGATACATGAATTGTTTTATTAAAAATAATAATAAAGAAGATCGATAGTTACAGTTATTGCCACTAATACTAATTTTTGCTCGCTGTGATGTAACTATAACATCCGTCTACGTCAGTCCTGACACAAATATGAACAAAAATACAGGTAGATTCAATGTTTGAACAAACGCTTGGTTTTCATTATTGTTCCTCTGCACTAAACTTGAAAACGATAAATATTAAATGACAGGTCTGTAATGAGAACTGGTTTTGAAAGTCACATGTACTACGGCGTTCAATATACCACTGAACCCAATACAGAGCAATTTCCCGTTTGAATAGCTCAACTTATCAGTGAAAAGTTTTTTTTTGAATTCAATTACGTCTCTACCTTTAACGTACTACTAGCATTAACCACGGTGCCATTAGTTATATCTGAGTGGTTGCATTATTCGTCTTCGTATTTATGATGATGTAAAAGTACAGTGGTTTAACACAATGGATCGAGGACATCGAACGATTGTCAAAGAATCTTATTGTCTACATGTGTTTACAGCAAACCCTCTACTGTTGTTTATAATGACGTATATTAAAAGCGCATCTCACAATTCATGTTCTTACAGATGTGCAACAAAGGCTGTCGTTTCTATTGCTGCTCCTCCCTATTGTCGGTCTCGTTCTCTTCGGTACAGTTGCTATGTCCGCGGAACATTACAATGTGTTCACAAAAATTGATTGTTCATATTACGGTATCTGAATGAAAGGAGCGTCCCCGCTTGTAGAAACAGCCGAACTTTGTCGCTATTCGTGGTCGAAGTAAATTTGTATGTTTCAATCGACCCACTAGTTTGGTCTTCAGTGGCATTATAAAGCTGTTTCCCAATGTACGACATGGCTATAATAGTACGATGCTGTTGCTGTAATGTGCGAACGGGGTCCATATGGGCTGCTTCTTATTCCTTGGTAAGTTTTCGTCTAGTGGAATGTTATGCTAAACAAAATTAGCGACGATCATGACATTAACTAATATTTATTATCGACAATAACTTCATTGTTGACAAACTTTATTTTTCAATGTAGAAACTTGTGTCTAACTGTCATGTTTATCTACCATATGAAATATACATTCAATGTATGTTTTTAAAATATACAGACTGTCATCTGTAACATACAGCGGTGGTGGGCTCCGTGTAGTAGTCAACAGTTCACGTCGCACACAATGTGAATCAAAACGCACCCACTATACAACATTTACGTTTCAAATCTAAATATCAAGAGGTCAATAAATACAAATATGTTGTTTCTGTGTATCGTGATACAGTACGTGTTGTATTCATCGCAACACCTTATTTAAACTACTGGAATTTCTACACTATGAGTTCAACAACAAAAAATGCCTCGCCCAGTGTTCTATTGTCACATGTACATATTTCGAAAATATGATCGCTGATCTCAAACATCAGCTGTCCCATAGATAGTTCAGGTCATGGTGCCATAACGGTCAGATTAAAACAGAATAAATGTTTATTTAAATTGGGGTTCATTCAATCTATTGTCAGTAATCGGGTTTTCACTAGCATGACCTCTGGGACGTTTGTCTAGCGGCATTGAATCTGAGATAGCGGATCGTAAATTCAGGTATGAAGAGAATAATGAAAGGCGACACTACAATGGCTGATACACGTCGCACGCTCACCGCTCACCTTCCACTTCGGTACATGCTTTGTATCTCCCATGCCAATCGACTTAAAATAAAGAAATTTAAAAATAAACTGAATCTAATGAGTTATAACATTTCACATGCCGGTACGGCAAAACTAAACTTACGATATCATGCTTCGTTAAGATGGATATTACTTACGCCATTCTATTATAGTTAGTAATTTCACTAACACGTTTTCATTGTATACATCTTAGATTACATCTCTTTTGAATGTCGGATTGTATGCGTATTTTACTGTCATCTACCAGAATATGGAATCAGGTAGGAAAATGTCAAACTTTTTATTATTTGTTTAATGTTTTGGGGGGAATTGTATTAGTTCGTATTTAAAAATAATGCTCGTTAAAGGTTCCCTTACCTAGTACAATTGCGCATACACAGTTCACAATACGGTGGGTCATTCGTTTAAGGAACTGGTAGTATTTATGTTAGGACTCATAAAGCAACTTTTTAATTAAGTGAGACCCAATTGTCTAATGTTGCTGTGAGACCGCTTCGTTGAATACCGTGCTTTCAATGCAGACACAGAAAGTTAAAATTGTTAACAACAAAGGCACGTGTTGACTAAAGGAAATACATATGATTTTTGAAAAATGCTAATCTTTCCGGTAGTATTTTGATTTAGCCAGGTTATCGTGAGTGGGCCCGATGAGCCGTTCACATCACAACTCCTTATGTTTGAAAAGGCTGAGTATAAACAGTCGTTCGTCATTTAAATAAAATGGAATGAAAATTTCAGCGTTTTGAATAAAAGCAGCGTTTTCAATCATGATGACGAAAGAATTACATCACTTCAAAACAGTGACGTTTCTTATTGCCTTCTTTTCACTCAACTATACTAAATCAGCGCTTTACCGATAAAGGGCACAATATATTGGAAATTGGCGTAGAATCCAATAAATGCAGATATACATTTATTTATTTATTTATTCATGAATTTGTTGACTGACGATTTGTTGTCACTGTTTTAGTAAGGAACAGGTTGGATGTTGTTGCTGTGTATTATACCGCAAGTGAAGGATAATTGTACATGAAATATTTTACATGACTATATTAAAATATCGCGACTTCATTTATGGCTGCTTGTTGCAGCGATGTAGTGATTAAGAATAAAACAAGTATCTTCTACAGGTACATTTGTTCACGTCGTGTGTGTGTTCTTGTATTAATTTGTATTACGTAAATAATAAATAACATTTAATAAAATAAAAACAAAAGTAAAAACAAAACAAAACACAAGGTCATTTGAGGATATTTATCCATAAACAGATTTGTCATAAACTTAACTTTGAAAATGAGCAATTCTACCAGACCTGCAAAAGTCAAGAAGACCCCAAGTGGTCTCAGAAATAAAATAAGTGATTTCTAGTTTATATTTCTAACTGACAAAAGGAACATAAGGGGTCATCAACCTTGAATGATTTTATCTTATATAAATTTTCGTTGTATATAGAGTACTGTTATATAGTACAATAGTTTAAATAGTAATACCCTAATAATACCCTCCAGTGTCAATTGAGCACTCACTTAAATGGAATAGAATAATAATTAGATAAATCAGACACCAAGAAATTAAAAACTCTTTATTGCGTGGCTAGCAATCTTGGTGGTGGTGGTAGTGGGGGGGGGGGGTACTTCAGATAAACCAGAAATGCATCTGAGATACATGTTGATTTAACAATTGGTGATAGATAGTAAATTTCGCATTTTCCAAGATGTAAGATCTTTTCTTGCTCAGTTACCGTCTAGCTATCGGAGTAGTATCACTGTACTCCACTCTCATTGTGTTCACAGGTTATCTTCACATACCTTATATTGTGTTTCCGATAACCACGGGATGTAGTGGACTAGTCTTCATGTTGTCCATAGTTCTCATAATTGGTTTAATAATGGTAAGTCTTTTGGATTCACATGCAGCACAGATAGATGTATTTGCGTTCATTACATTACGCATCATATGGTTATGTGCGATTCAAACCATACCATGTTCGGGCTTACAGTCATAGAAATGTATAATAAAAAATGCTGACAATATAAATTATTTATGATGAATTTCATACATGTCCATTCATATAATATTTTATACGTAAATATACATTCCCTGTACGAGGAACATTTCAACAAAGATTCTTTGTTGGGTGTCGTCTTGTTCAGCTCGACACTGGCAAACCATAGGCATAAGCATAAACTCAAGTCAAATATAACTCGTCACTTTTCCCAGAATAAACCTGGGTAATTTATTTCTATATTTAATTTTAATAACAAAGAATTTATAGAAATATTAGATCGCTCGCACTTCGAGCCAATAATATAATTAATGTGTATTATTGTATTCCTATAGGACCATAAGAAGTTATTGTTGCCGTGGATTATTTTCTATATTTTTTACATTCTCGCCGAAGGTGCTACATCATTTGTCTTGGTATTTTTCTTTGTAAGTATCGAATTCACTTCTATACAAATCGACACCACTGTACTATGACCCAGTCTATTTTGGCGACATAATACTGTTAAGTGAACCGGCATTGTTTTGCGACCCAGCATGGCTTCATGTCTCAGAATAATCCAACTTTCATGAGAAAATTGTTCATAGATTTAGATTTTTGAAAACAACGTTTTTAGTTTATGACAAATAATTTAATGACATCAATAATTATTTGCGTAATAATTGTCTTATTGTTTGTATTTAATTACTATAGGGTGCACACGCGATGAACCTGTTTGCCTTAGCGTGGTTTGTATCAAGAACAATACTTGGGGTAAGTGAATGATGATACCTGCATTTACCCTGCCCACAGTATGAGGGCGTTCTTTTACATCCGCGTATTGCTAAAATTATGTACACATTGTAACCTGCGATATTGTAAAGACGATGGTGTAATATAAAGAACGCTGATAATTTCGTGTAATCTTCTTGTTATATGCAATCTACATATTGACCTCTCCTAATAGGTGAATAAATAATGGAAACATGTCCCTAATAAAGCGACAACCAATGACATATAGCGCAATTATAGGAGCACAAATATCAGCGCACCCCATCATAATGTACGGTCCATTCAGCACAATGATGTTTTCACTTTACGTTTTACGCAGGTATATTGTATTATATGTGTGGTGTCACAATACCAAGAACTAAACGAAGGTCGTGGTAGAAGTTACGATTACGAAAGGGTGAGATGGCTACTGTAATACTCTATGATGACCATAGTGTTTTTTCTACCACCATTTTCACCACTTTGGCGAAATATACAGGACAGAGTACCGACACAGAGGTCAAATCATGTTGACAAATTTTGATTTCATGGTGAGGTTACATTTTATGAGTTATATCAAAATCAAGTTTATTTTTTTCGTATTTTACTAGGATGCATATATGGACGATGATGCCGACGCGCCACCAGAAACAATCGAGTCGCCGCGGGTAATGAAGTTCACGATCCATGGGGATCAGACTCAAAGACAGTACAGTACAGCATCTACCAAGTCAGCAGGTGATATCGAGTTAGAAGAGACTAGATCGTATTCAACGCCGAGAAGACATCCACGTTCACCGAAGATTGTACCCCGAGAAGTGCAAACACCAAACAATGGTTACCAAAACAGATACTTCGAAGACGATGTCTTTTAATTACAGGGAGATGTTCTATTCTATTCAAGTATGTTCTCGTCATGTTAACGTTAACGTTCGTCAAGTTTCATTTATTGGTTTATCAATGATTGCGATAAATCTTCCAGTTTTACTCCATTAAGTTGTTTTTATTCCGACACATAAATTATTATTATAGCACCAAAGAACACATTGGACAAAATGAATTGTAATACAAAGACACTATTATTTACACTGAGTTAGCTGTCAATAGATGGATTTTGTTGTTGACACAGGATGCTTTGTTGTCACAGGATGCTTTGTTGTCACAGGATGGTTTGTTGTCATTGGTAGGGTTTGTTTTCATTAACCATTGCTTGGGTTTGGTTGCCAATGAGTGGTTTGTCGTCATTGGACGGCTTGTGTTGTGATTGGGTAATTTGCTGCTATTAAGTGGTTTTTATTGTCACTTTTCGCATTTGAACGGTTTGTTGTCATTAAATGAGTTTTGATATCACCGAGTGAGTTGTTGTCATCAGTAGAGTTTGTTGTCATTAGATGGGTTATGTTAATTGGATGTTTTTTTGTTATCACTGGATGATTTTTTGTCATTAGATGGGGTTTGTTGTCATTAGATAGTTTGTCGTCATTAAGGGGGGTCGTTTTCATTGGATGGTTTGTTGTCATTAGATGAGTTTTGTTTTTTCTAAATGGCTCGTTGTCATTTGATGGGTTTTGTTCTTATTTTATGATTTGCTGTCATTAGAAAGATTCGTTGTCATTAGATGGGTTTTTGTTGTCATTATATGGGTCTTGTTGTCATTAGATACATTTTGTTGTCACTAGATGCTTTGTTGTCATTGAGTGCTTTGTTGACAGTAAATGGGAATTAGCGTGATGGATTATGGGTAGTCAAGTGAGTCATGGAATTTCATGACCTCAAGGTACTTAAGTACTCATATATATTTTTCATTATTTGCATTTTCTGTGTAAAGGCGTGTTTCATTATACGAGTGGTCTTGTCAATAATATTATTTATATATTTTTTTCAGTGACGTACTCAATATCATACCTGTCATGTTATTATAGTTTTATTAGTTGATTGTGTGTCCTAAGAACAAAATTTAACATAAATATCCCCTCTCCATAAAACCTATCATTCAGTATAATTAAAGAATTACTTTAATACCAAAAACCATTATTGTTACGAAGTTTATAACAAATATTGTTAAATTATTGAATAATAGCAAAATAGCTTCACAATAGAATTTTGAAATGTACTTTAGGTAGATTAGCTTTAATATTTTAGAATGTGTGTAACTATTCTAATAAAATCTTCATGTAATTATTAAATATCGACGTGCTGACGACACGTGTTGAATATAGCTAGAAGATTGGGAGTAAATCCAAACAAAAATGGTCGCCCATTGAATCGTGGGTTCGTTATTATAGAGTCAATTTAGTGAACGCTGGTTGATAAGAACATGATGTAATGTTGCACTCTGAAATTATTACTAAAGTTTCATTGTGATTCTGCAATTACTATGTAAAGTGCATGGAAGTATGAATTTGCTTGAATTGTGGGAAATACGAACTAAACGTTTAATTAATGTTTAGTTCAGATTCTCTTTATAATGTTCTGAATTTGAAATCATAAACATTTCCCATTATTCGCGCATATTCAAACTAAGAAAAAAATGCATATTCAAAAATTAAGTAATTCAGAGAATCAAAGGATTCACGTATACATATTACCAAATGGTTCACATGACATTCCAAAAAATGCGTTAATGATATCAGATTGCATCACGTGATGGAAGGACTAACGAAAGCTTTAGTCGAAGTTTGCAAACTAAAATATTTTTTAAACCCGATTTGTGATTTTAATTTTTCATAATAGTTAATGGTTTTATTTACAATGTATATTTGTATTTATGCATAGACAATTTAGGATTGACATCAATCTTTCCCAACAATACACACATTTAGTGTAATAATTTATCTTATTTTGTCGATAAAAAGGAAGATTACTTACGAGAAATGTAACTTTAAGAATATTCCATTTCTGTTTTGTTTTGTTTTTCGAAAACGAAGTACAACTTTATATGTATTAAAGGTGGGTTGTATGAACACATGTAATAGTGATGTAATATAGACTATGGTCACCGCAATGTTGAGTATGAACACATGTAATAGTGATGTAATATGGACTATGGTCACCGCAATGCTAAGTGTGAACACATGTAATAGTGATGTAATATGGACTATGGTCACCGCAATGTTGAGTATGAACACATGTAATAGTGATGTAATATGGACTATGGTCTCCGCAATGCTGACTCGTCTATATATGCTATGTGTTTATAAGACACGCTGGTGATATTCGCCTTTGGCAAATCACTTGTACATAATTTATCCTCTCCCGTGATTGTTATATTCAGCCAGAAAAAAAATAGTTTATTATTGAATCGTAGAAAGTCGATCAATTAATCGTGAACAATTGAAATGAAAATGTTGGTATTCAGTAAAGCTCTTTAATTCATGGCATCCTACGTGGAATGGTAATTACGTCGTCTACAATATCAATAACTTCCATACTAAGCTTCCCCAGGTAATTACAAAATATAATGGCCATCTAGGTACAAATTGCTATAACGGGGTTGTCGTGTAATCATAAAGTGTATTTTACTGTAGAACGTTTCAGTTCACGGTTCGCTGTAAGGTGAAATCACGGATGGTACGTACTCAAATCATCTGGCTCATGTAGTATAATTGGAAGTGAAAACACCCAAAATGGGCAATAGATTTTATTAGAATGTAGTCCAATGTTGTAGCAATGTTCCATGTGGATTTCATTCGGTGTACGCAACGCGTGTAAAAAGTATGTTTTACACGGAATTCGAACTAAGAATACATTGCTGAGAATGTATGTCTGAGCAAACCTAAGACCTGGGAATCAGGATTCCGGGTGGGATTTGTCCACCGATTTCAGAGGTGGGTTCAGATGACAGTTCTTTTACGATAAAACTCACGCTTGACGGTATCAGAAGATTTCAGTTATAGACTAAATAGTAATAAATAGTAAGTTATCAGAAATAGTAATCGCATTTAAAATGCATGAGTTAGTCACGTCATTGTGCAACGGTAATAAAATAATGAGATGCATAGATCAATTGAGTCATTCATTTGGAATAATAATTACGTAATGCATACATTGATTACGTCATTGATTTGGAACATAATTTACGAAATGCATAAATTGATTACGTCATTGATTTGGGATAATATTATGTCATTTTTTTATGAAAATAATGATGAAGGGTATAAACTGGCAGAGTAATGGATTCTTGGTAACTTCATTATCTATTTATACTAATTATTCATAATATTACTAGTAAATTCTAATTGTCTCAAAATGGTGGCAACAGCTAAGACTGTTTGCAAGGCTACGTGAAAAGAAATAGCGCTTCCGGTTGTCAGGCGATATAGCTCCCATGTCGTTGTTACGCTCATGTAAATTCAAAACCTACTACACATAACAATAAGAATTCTACCAAACAATACAACACGGAGCTATTGTTGTCATCAAACGTCCAATCATTGGAATAGCTAGTTGCCCTTACAACAACTAGCTAGTCACCCACTGGCAATTCAGGGGCATCCCTGGGAATGAATAATAACGACAGTAGTCTGTCTATGTGTATAGTATGTGGTATCGGCATAAGCAATTTTGCAGCTGAAAATCGCAGAAAGATACCTTAACTAACGTGGCTAACTGTCGTGGTTAAATTCACTCATAGCGGGGGAGAGAACAGTTTATAACAGTTTAGTAAGCTTGTACAAAGTGAAGACGACGCTGCGTAGAATGATTGCTTGGTAATTGAAAACATGTGAAAACTACAAATGCTGCCATTTTCATTCCACCATGCCGCTAATCACCAGGTGTCTATGTTGGGACGATCTGCGAAGCGGTGCCCAGGCAACAGCTATATATACAGTGGTGAGTATTGGCGTCTAATCTCACAGTTGTACTTGTTGTTGTTGTCATAAATTACCGGATAATTATGGCAGAACAGCTGTGATTTCGATTGAGTATTATACCTACCACTGAAGAAAGATATACTAAATTAACGTGTGAATAGCATCTAAGTGAAGTTTAATTGTTAGTGCCAACGACAAAAGATCGTGTTAATTTTAACAAAATAGTTTAGAACGTAACGGGATGTTTTAAACACAGGACGAATATTTATAATACAGATATGGGGGTCATTGTGGGTCATTTCATCAGGTGGTTGTGGTACACAATGGCCGTAAAAACGCTCGGTGTGTACAACACTTTGGCACACCTTGACGAATTATTGCATATTACAATTCACCTACAATGACGAGTACAATGCCACGCCATTGACATATGATAGCCATTACAGTGGTAGGCTGGGTAAAAAGCTAACACGCTGTCAGTTGTGTGGGACGTGTACATACCGCGTACTTTTTTTCAATGTCTATTTTTAAACTAGTGACCTAGCAGTGTTTTATTTATTTTTTTCAATTTTGTCAATATGATTACTAGTCTTTCTGAACTGCGCGTTGGGGTGATTGTGTACATATGACATACGCACTCCAACGTACGCAACAACATAAGATTACCACCCCTTACGTTTACTGTCAGATATAAAAGTGGTCATCGACCATGTGAAAAGTTCCGGAATGTTCTGTCATAATGGTCTTGTCAGGGATGTATTGCATTGACAAATCCATAGCGGCATGAGCAACTGCGTTTTTATGCAATATACTTGCTCTAAGTCAAAGAATACGAACCAATACGGGATGCCTGTCACATTTTCAGCAAATCGTCATTGCCCTAAGTGTTGTCCAAAAATTTACATTCACAACAAATCTGCCATATTGCCAATATTATACAGTGACCTTGCTCTGGACATAGAGGTCGCTCAAACAATTGGACCCAAGTTAAAACGCGTCCGATATACAGTGACATCACACTAGAACAATCACAAGGTACCCGACACATTGTTGTCTACACGTTAACGTAACCATACAGTATAATGCGTGGAATGCTTTGTTCTACTAGCCAGTGTCATAACAAATGTTGAAATGGCATTATTTTGTTGTTGTTTTTCTCAGTGAAAATGCAGAAAATGAATAAAATTACTCGCAAAGTCACGATTCTTATTGGAAACGAAAGCAAGGTCGTCGACGTTACAATACATAAAAACACGTTTAATGTAACGTAGACACTATTAATCAACAATTCATATATTCATATTCACTCTAAATAAATCGCGTATTTGACATGAGTAGCCTATAACGATCAGTAATTTACAATGCACTCCACATAATCACAGTCACTGTAGTCGTCACCGCGTGGTAACTTGATAACAACGCTATAACCACCATATTATACGTGTGTTTTTTATTTGTAGGTATTCTCTCTGATTGGCATCTTCATATTTATTTACTATCTGAGTTTCTATGGCAGTAAAATGGAAGATGATTGTAAGTAACGTCAACAATAATATGGCTATTTAAAGACTATCCGTCAAAGCAATGTCATCAACATTGTCAGCTGACCACAAATTCAATCAATCGTATTTATTTGGTTTTAGTTATAAAGAGCAAGAAACGATGGACATTACCGGTATATTTTAGTTCATTTACTTAAATGTGTGTTTGGTCAATGAAATTCATTCTAACGTCCTAAATTTCAATCCTATATTATCATTTCAAAAGATTATCTTACGATTTCCAATTGACAACATTTTTAGTTCTAGATATTAGATATATGCTGTGGCAACGTAATTTGAAATGAATATTTGAAGTAAAAGTTATTTAGCGAACCTAAACATCAACAAAAATGTCTCTGTGCATTTCTTTTATTTGGGATTGACATCCCCAGTTAGTTATACAAAGCAAACAAACAGTATTTCTCAAGATATGATTGATACACACTAAAATATAATAAATTTACTGCTAGTTATAATCACCACACAATGGTAATTGTTGAATATATGGGGAAATAAAAATGATGATTTGTAAACCCAAACGTTTTTTAAATGTTGATCACGTCTCCTAAAAAACAATTATAGCATTCTTGATATACAAATTATTTTGTCTGACATTATAACTATTGTGTGTATATATTACAGCCACGGCAGCCATAATATATAAGCTGTGGTTTGTCATGGTGTTTGTTTACGCTCTAGTGTTCATTGTGGCGGTCATTCTCATGGTTGGTGTACAAAACGTAAGTATGTTGTAATACTATTGTAGAGTTTTGCATGGTTTCATAATTTAATACATCGGAATCACACTCTTCCCTCATTGTAATTCTAGATTCTAACACGCTAGCTTCTCATACAAATGTGCCACGGCATAATTTACCTAAACCGAGCAGTCTGCGTATCTCTTTCCAAACCATACTTGATTTTGGCCAAAATAAAACTTAAGTTGTAGGTCAATTAAAGGTTGACCAATATCTGGATTTGAAGATGATACCATATTTGTGAACTAGATTCTCTTGTTTATCGGGATCAATGTGTTGCTACTGTATTTTGCTACATATTATGTTTAAGATTTGTTTAATTTTCTCTGTAGATTTGTTTTCCTTTTTAACCGAAGCTACCATTTACTAGAGTTTGTAATTTGATTTGGCGCTTTCATCGGTCCATGGCTAGATTATTTTTTTTCTTATTTTTTTTTAGAAATAATTAAACTACCAAAATATCACGAACATTGAGATTATGAAAATGTTGCATCTGTTATGAATTTATTTAAATTCACTTCATGTCATTAACAATGATGACGTCATTGGGTGGGTAGTAACTGTTTTGCATATTGCTGCATACTTTGCAGGATCAGAAGAATTTACTGTTACCTTATCTATTTTACATGGTATTTTACATGTTTGCTGACGCTGGTGTCAATGCATACGTTTATATTGTAGGGGTAAGTTACACAGACCGTATTCACAATATCATTCTGGCATTTTCCATTGCCCATGATAGGCAGCCAAATAAATAAGAACCTATGGAATTGTGTGACCATTCAATGTAATTTCAAATCGTTTTTGTATTCACCTTTTCACTTTGTCGACCCTTTACTACTCGTTACTTTATCAGCTGTATAAGTCAGTTTTTCCATGGTCGTGTTGTCACCCCCCCCCCCCCATTAACTTGAATCGTACCATCCTATCCAGTAACATGAAGCCCCGGTATACGTGGATGATAGTGTGATAGATGAGATAAATGCCAAGTCCTTGGGATCACATGCAATATTCAATATTTCCAAGCAGATATAACTAATTAACCGTCACAGAGAAAAACGACTATCATCGTGGAGAACTTTGATAATGTTATGATTTTTTGTTTTTGTTTTTGAATTCCTAACCAAATGAACACATTCATTCAGTTACATCCGGGATTTGTTGTCCTGTGTAACGTATATACGTAAATCATCAGTAAAGTATGTACTATGGTTAAATTATGAAAATATGAATAAAATAAGTATATATAAATATAAATTTTTAAACAAAATTAATAAAACATAATAAGTATATATATATATATATATATATATATATATATATATATATATATATATATATATATACTTATTATGTTTTATTAATTTTGTTTAAAAACAATAGTATATGATTTATCCTAAGAATTGTTGGCAGTGAACATAGCAGTTTTGTTTGATGCAATAACCACAACGCTAGTGCGCATGCTCGTCGAATTCCACATTTCATATTATTGTACTCTTTACATTAGCAAAAGTCAAAACAACAACATCCCTTATAAAACAAAAACTATAAAATTTCAAAAAGCACCCTACACATACCTCGGAGATTATCAAATCCTGGAATTAACAGAGTGACATAATAATTTATCGAAGAAATTATTTAATGATTTCACACATTGTTGAAATGTCAGCCTAGGTCGTACATATTAACTACATGTGCCACTATGGACTAACCTGTTTACTTCATAAAATGTAATCCAGAGTGGCTATTAATCCAGGATTTGTCTGTTAATCCTACATGACGCTTTCTATTTTTATGAGTTCCCTTTAACCTTGTCGATCGTTTACACTGTTATATTTATGCAAATGAATGTACAACTCAAATGTGTCTATCGTTGTTGTTTTATGTCATTTTAGGGATCAACCAGTATCAATGTGTTCAATCTTTCATTATGTGTTGTACGTGAAGCAATAACAGTAAGTACGCTGTCATCATGACAACAACAATAGAATGGTTCTAAGATACAGCATACTAGAACAGAATCCGGTACAATAGAATAGTTGCGATTGACATGATTTCATATACAACGTAGTATAATATATTTGTGTGTGGGGGGGGGGGGGTGTGTAGCGTACGTGATGGATGTACCACAACATCTTTTGGTTGTAATTATCACTATGAAATGTATGCATTATGCAAATATCAAATATAATAAACTATTCTAATGTGTTTATTTCTAGTTCTGGTGTGAATTGTGTATCTTTTCATTATATCAACTATTAATATCAGCAGAGAATGCGAGAGCGGTGAGTCACGTGACTTATGCAGTACACACTTTTTTAATGTGTCTATGTTCACCTTGTCTGTGTCGCTAAAACGACGTTGGGCATTTCTTCCATTCGTATACATGCCTTTTCCCCCACTTTTCTTTTTCTAAAACCGCCTCTGTTTTATCAACAGAAAGATGCAATGTCTCGCGAATGTCAGGTTTCGACGATCACCCTCAACGACAAACTTTGTGTATCTCCAGAAAAATTACCTGACACCGGTCAGAGGGGGCGCTCGTACAATCAACAGAAAAATTGCAAGTTCAATTCGGGGCCAAACCAAAACGACGTGTTTGATGAATTATTCCGCCCGAGAAGTGCATTATCTGCCCGTGATGTTCGACTGTTGTCAACCCCAACGCCGTCTCCATCATTGCAGTTTGACTTTGGCTCTACGGGGTCGATGAGAAGCGGTGTCGAGGGTCAAGAACAACTCGAGCCTCCCGTAACACCTGACACAAAATCTCGTCGAAAATATGATATTGGTCAGTCGGCGAGAAACTCAAAACAGGTGAATGTTGAAGTTCACCAAGGACATTACAGGGTATGATGAAAGTCGATTCAATTACATAAACAAATTATTTTCATATATATATTTTTTGTTAAAAATCAAACAAATTTTTCGAAACTTCTACTTCGATTTAAAACGCCACAGTGCGTCCACATTCATTTACATATGTTACATGGGACTCACCAATGAATACGATGCATTGTATTCGTTACATGGTTACGTGGGACTCACCAATGAATACGATGCATTGTATTCGTTACATGGTTACATGGGACTCACCAATGAATACGATGCATTGTGTTCGTTACATGGTTACATGGGACTCACCAATGAATACGATGCATTGTATTCGTTACATTGTGACAAGGGATTAACCAGTGAATATGCTGCGGTGTACACGTTACATGGAACTCACCAATGAATACGTTGCGTTGTATAAGTTACATGCTTACATGGGACTCACCAATGAATACGATGCATTGTATTCGTTACATGGTTACATGGGACTCACCAATGAATACGATGCATTGTATTCGTTACATTGTTAAAAGGGATTCACCAATGAATATGCTGCGGTGTACACGTTACATGGAACTCACCAATGAATACGTTGCGTTGTATACGTTACATACTTACATGAGACTCACCAATGAATACGATACATTGTATTCGTTACATGGTTACATGGGACTCATCAATGAATACAATGCATTGTATTCGTTACATGGTTACATGGGACTCCCACCAATGAATATAATGCGTTGTATACGTTACATGGGACTCACCAATGAATATGATGCGTTGTATACGTTACATGGGACTCACCAATGAATACGATGCGTTGTATACGTTACATGGGACTCACCAATGAATACGATGCGTTGTATACGTTACATGGGACTCACCAATGAATACGATGCGTTGTATACGTTACATGGGACTCACCAATGATTACGATGCGTTGTATACGTTACATGGGACTCACCAATGAATATGATGCGTTGTGTACGTTACATGGGACTCACCAATTAATACGACGTGTTGTATACGTTACATGGGACTCACCAATGAATACGATGCATTGTATACGTTACATGGGACTCAACAGTGAATACGATGCGTTGTATACGTTACATGGGACTCACCAATGAATACGATGCGTTGTATACGTTACATGGGACTCACAAGTGAATACGATGCTTTGTATACGTTACATGGGACTCACCAATGAATATGATGCGTTGTATACGTTACATGGGACTCACCAATGAATATGATGCGTTGTATACGTTACATGGGACTCACCAATGAATATGATGCGTTGTATACGTTACATGGGACTCACCAATGAATATGATGCGTTGTATACGTTACATGGGACTCACCAATGAATATGATGCGTTGTATACGTTACATGGGACTCACCAATGAATAGATGCGTTGTATACGTTACATGGGACTCACCAATGAATATGATGCGTTGTATACGTTACATGGGACTCACCAATGAATATGATGCGTTGTATACGTTACATGGGACTCACCAATGAATATGATGCGTTGTATATGTATGTTTCGTGGGACTCACCAATGAATATGATGCGTTGTATACGTTGTATGGGACTCACCAATGAATATGATACGTTGTATACGTTACATGGGACCAATGAATAAATTAAACGCGTCGCAACGACTGTAGTATTTTAAACCTTCAAGTTGCTTTGAAAGAAACGTTGCTCCCTCCAACGATGAATGTCGAAATCAAACGTCAAAATTTATGCTGTGTTTTGTTAATACAGTGTAATTTATATATGATTATTTATTATCTATATTTTAGTACGAGATTATTTTTATTCTTGTATAAATATACTAAACAAAGTTTTACTTTTTATGAGACTATACTATATCAAAACCATACCGTCAAACTTGTATAAATGTTTATTTCCTGTGTTTCAATGTAATAGTTGTAGAAGTTGACAAATCTATCGGAATTTTATGACTGGGTCATTTGAAAGTGTGTTCAACGATTGGTCTTATTATATAACCTATATGTTCTGAACTTTGAAATACAATAAACAAAATCTGCTTGAATGTTTCTGGTGATGGGATCTATTTCTTTGCATGAGTTATTATTGATTGTTCGTATGTAGTTCTTGTTGCACACCTGTATGGGCATGTTCACATCTCAGACTGTCGTCTCAGCTCGCTCACCTCTGCCACACTCTAGACGCACGTGACCAAATTGCTGCCGACTTGTTTTACGAAACGTATAAATACATTGCTACCATGATCAGAGCACGTAATAACAGTTCTGGGGTAATACTGGACAGGCATGATGTTCTTTACTTCCGGGCACGGTGGCGGATTTACTATCGGGAACGGTGGCGGACAATCGCCTTCTGTAGGTGAGTTTCCATTGTTTTATATAGCGTTGAGTGTTTTATTTTTTAATGTGTTTTGAACTGCAGCTCTGTGAAACTACATTGTTAATTCATTACATGACATAATTGTGTCTGATTGGCCACACAATCATAACATTCAAGCCAATCAGAAAACTGTTTGATGTTCTTTCGATAAATCAAATCTTGTCTTTATAAATAATTAGACACAAATGTAAAGCATAGTAGTATAGTCTATAGAAGAATGATACAAAACATGCATTTCACTTAAATCAATTATGCTAATTCACCGGCAATTGATGTCAATGATCCTAAAATACACGTGACATATTCCTGCTTTTTTAAAAAATGTCCAATGTGCAAATATGCATTTAGACATGACATAAATTATTTCCATTGTAATTGAATCTAATTGTTATTAAACTAAAACATATCATGGATCAAGGCTTCACAATATAACTGTTTAATATGTTCTACTTATAAGGTTGACCATTGTTTAGGCGTGTGTACTCGGGATAAACACTCGCCTCTCTTTCCAACATATTATTCTGGCCACCCCTGTAATTTAGGTCGACCCCAATATCTGATAATTTCTCCTGTTTTTTACAGGAATTGGACACTGTTGGCTTACTTGAGATGGAGGAGTTTTCAGACGAGACCAGTTATGGGGGTACAGTTTTTTCATCCGATTCTGATCAATCTAGTACAAATGAAGACCTCGCCGATTTGAAAAGAACAATGGACGCGTTGACCCAGAGAATGCGACTTGTAAGCTGTGGTGCTCGAGGGGTCACTAAGTCAATCGAAAATATTGCTAAGGAACAACAAATCTTGCAGGGGGAGATTTATGAACTGAGGGACACAAGAGGACGTATTGTGACGCCGTACAAAGCTGGAGAACGTGGACGGATACGAGACTCTGAAACCTTAAACGAAGGAATTGTTAGTAATGTCTATATGGGTCGTACTTCAACGCCGACCAACGGCAGGAGAATCAATTGGGAAGAAATGTGGAGCTCAAAACTATGAAATCAATTTGGAATATTGTCACAATTTATGGATAAATTAACGGTGGTCGTGACACGCTACTACTGTTTTTGGAAATTCAGAAACTGCATAGCCATGTGCTACTGTCATTTTAAAGGTCACATGATAGTACCGGTCTAATATCACTTACTTTGCCTAAACTATAACAAGTTGTACTTTAACAAGTAGTTAGTTTATTAAATAAAACGTTGTTTATCGGTATATACCAAATTGCATAATAGATGGATGCAAACACTTTATAAACAAATTCAAAACAGGTACCACATAAAATTCTCACATATAGATCTAATACAGAACACTTACGTGTATTTGTTTCCCGATAAGATTCAAGATGGTTGACATTAATACAAAATATCACTCAAGTAACATATGTCTAACATTGCGTAACCAGGTCTCGAGTATGCATGTGTGACCGCAAACCTACAAATACCATCATCAGCCCTGACGTACGTTATTATGTTCACGTATCTAACTCTGAAGGCTTTTTTTAATACGTCTCAGAAGATGTGGAGTGACTCGGACACATGGATAATACGTTGGTTGGGCGATGGTAGATTTGTACACGGTTACGTAAAAAAAACCTCTGAAATACTCAAACCTGCGCATGCAGTGGACGGCCATAGCATGTGCCCATGAGCCTTTGCGTCTTTAGCGTGCGTTGTTATGGTCTCATGCCACTAATAAACCAATGAAATTTTTTAAATATTTTTTTTTCTCAGGTGCTCCCTGTTTGAGGGCGTAATCACCTGGGTCAGAGGTGAGACCAACATGTGGTCTTTTGTTTACTACTTAGCGGCTGTGTACCTGCGGGTTTATTCTGTGTGTATTTGGATGTTCTAATCTTGATGTTTTTCCAGTCATTTCTCTTGGTGCAATCCAAATACAGTAGGTGTGTCTTGTTTACCTGATATTTGCAAGAGTTTGAGCTGGCCAACATGTTAGTTTTTTTCATATGGTTGATTACTGGCATGTTGATTTCCCATTTTTGAGCCATGTTTTCAACTTTCTTCGTCATTTTCATATATCAATCTCGTCATATGTTAACATTGTCGTCTACGGAAATTCAATTAGTGGTATGAGCCCTTATTGTCGTTTAAAACTCAATTTTTACGCATGCGTAGGTGACATCCTCTCCGCTATAATTGTGTTTTACAGAGCTGACTCACAATGAACGACCAGCGGTTATTTCGTTTTTAAAAATTACGTTCCAAGGCCATAGCCATATTTTACACATATACAATATATTATTGCGCACGTTATGTCGTAGATGTACCAACATCGAGCATTTCTCAAATTCCGGTGCCGGTTACCAGGCGTACGTGACGAATTTACGTTTGGCCGCTGGAGGGTGTGGGAACACAGCGATCTAACACTTAGTATTTATGCGCATACATGAAACAGTTTTGAAAAAGGTTATCTGATTTTATAATATTGGTAAGATCGACAGAGACACTCTGAATACTGTCCACTGGCGCGATGTGAATCATGCGAGCTAAAACTACGAGGCGAGTAAGCGCCGTCGCCTCCACACAAACTAAAACATGGCTTTAGAATTGGCGAACACCACACCACTGGCAATGCCGACAATGGCAGTTGAATGAACACTTCTTATTAATATTATTACTGAATACAGAACCCCCAATTGTATAATATGTATTCATTGTATACTATTTGCATTGTATTTTCGCACTTTTTGTGTACATATCTGTGTATTTTTGTATACACAGTCTTATACATAATATGTGCATATTCAGAAATATTTTACACATCAAAGAAATACACGTTAATTATGTCGGCGGTATATGAATCACCACGCGTGGAACGTCAGCTGTTTTGATTTTATCAGCCGCTGCTTTTATGTAATCAGTAAATACTTAATTTTTCATACTAGTTTGTATGCAGTGAGGTTAAACGTATATAGTTGTCTGATATACATCTCCTTGGCACTCTAATATGGTGGATGATATGGAGTACGTTTTGTTATGCGAAATATTACATTTAATAATGAGTCAATTTGTGTCTAAACACGCAAAGCTTGTATTTTCTGCTTTGCAACGTACTTTAAAGTGATATGAAAAAAGTAATCACAAGGGATTGGGATAAGACAAAACATCTACAACACGTGTGAGATATTTCATGCCAGACCCTTTGGGATGCGGGATTCTATTAATTTGCTACACGCCACAGCGGTGACCGGTTGCACTCACTTAGTGTAAATACATCTACGTCGTGACACGTATACATACACGCGATGACACATGCGTCATTTCATGGCGAAGTAACATCACATTTTTTTCACACAAGAATCTAATATGGACTAATCGTATTGTTAAATCACACATCCGCCCTCGCAATATATTGTGATGATTCTCCGCCCTCGATGTGCACCATATTGTGTAAGATCGCGTTGCCCAGGGACCTCATTTACAATGCTTACTCCAACAACACTTGTGATTTAATTGTCCACGCAGGATGCTTAGCAGTAATGAACAGCGTTAGTACAGGGTCACCGCCCTCACATGTTACGCAGTACCATCATAATTTAGTGAGAACACTCTAGTACGTGTGTCTGTCGCTACCGTCATCGTTATCAACGGAGGCTGTCGATAAACGGTGCACGATGCCGCTAATAACAAAATGTATGTGTTGGGACAACATCTACTCTGCATCGAGAGCCGCTGCCATGTACACACTGGTGAGTTTACCAATTCAGCTGATAGAGTAACACCCACACGATGTTTAAAGTTGTCATATATAATCTCTGTTTGGTATCGCTGTCGTGTCACTGTACTAACGAGTGGTAGACATTGGAACCACTGCCATAAACCGGAAGTCAATGGTTGTACAGGATTAACATGACACGACGAAGGTATCCACAGCGACTAACACTCGCTGACCGGAAATGGCTTGTCATGGTCCTCCTATTTAAAATACAAACTCGTGGCTGAGAAAAAAGTGATAAATTATTGATTTTGAAGTAATGATAACCGTTGTTATATTCACTATTATCTTGAAAAAGTGTGTATTTATTTCTCTTTCTTGGCATATGGTAATCGTAAAACTATAAAATGAACATGACGTGTTGTTTTGCCGTAGTTGTAGCTGACAGAATATTGTCCACCAGTAGAAACACCGTAAACATATTGTGAGATCGATTATAAATATACTTACATGCCCTGGATAGGCCCACCACGAATTTTAACAAATGTCTAAAATTAGAGACACTCCTCTCTCACGCAAATTACGACATGGAAGTTAATTATTTATTGTTGGTAAATACGTATTAATTTGAAATATTAATTTGACGATTGAGATAACAGAAAGCGACTCGTGACATAAAAATTGTACTTTATTAAGCCTTATTCAATGCTATCGAAAATGAAATGCGATTAAATACGGTGCATGGATGTTGTCCCTAAGTATCGATTACTCATTAACGATAGCTTTCAAATTGGTTGTCTGTTTTATTGTGATATGTTCACACGTGATTGTCTGCATTATTGAAGGCCATAATAGGACAATGTATTATTTTCACATATGTTACATAAATCGTGTGAATAACACAGATGCAATATTCTGATAAAAACAGACTGACATGGGTCAGTGTTGTTTACTGTCATATGTTAGTAATACTTCATATATTATGACTGACGACTCATTCCATTTCCATTCAGTGGAAATTGGTGTTAAACATTATCGACTTTAATAAAACCATCAGATTCAAAACAGTTTGATAGGGTACAGTGGTTAGCGCATTCGACTCGCATCTAGAGTTTGTGTATTCATTGTTTTGATGACCTAGTTTATGCAAATGCATACAATTTGCATAATTAATGACGTGACACATACAATCTGTACATTACAATTTTTACAGAATATTAATCCAAGGATTCTATTGTTTTATATTGCTATTTGAATACAGAATATATTAATCCACCGATACTATTGTTTTGTATTGCTATTTGAACACAGAATATATTAATCCACCGATACTATTGTTTTGTATTGCTATTTTAACACAGAATATATTAATCCACCGATACTATTGTTTTGTATTGCTATTTGAACACAGAATATATTAATCCACCGATACTATTGTTTCGTATTGCTATTTGAACACAGAATATATTAATCCAAGAATTCTATTGTTTTGTATTGCTATTTGAACACAAAATATATTAATCCACCGATAATATTGTTTTGTATTGCTATTTGAACACAGAATATATTAATCCACCGATACTATTGTTTTGTATTGCTATTTGAACACAGAATATATTAATTCACCGATACTATTGTCTTGTATTGCTATTTGAACACAGAATATATTAATTCACCGATACTATTGTCTTGTATTGCTATTTTAATACAGAATATATTAATCCAAGGATTCTATTGTTTTGCATTGCTATTTGAACACAGAATATATTAATCTACCGATACTATTGTTTTGTATTGCTATTTGAACACAGAATATATTAATCCACCGATACTATTGTTTTGTATTGCTATTTGAACACAGAATATATTAATCCACCGATACTATTGTTTTGTATTGCTATTTGAACACAGAATATATTAATCCACCGATACTATTGTTTTGTATTGCTATTTGAACACAGAATATATTAATCCACCGATACTATTGTTTTGTATTGCTATTTGAACACAGAATATATTAATCCACCGATACTATTGTTTTGTATTGCTATTTGAACACAGAATATATTAATCCACCGATACTATTGTTTTGTATTGCTATTTGAACACAGAATATATTAATCCACCGATAATATTGTTTTGTATTGCTATTTGAACACAGTTTTCTTAGAATCACTAATTAAGAAAATTCAAAATAATGTAAGCGAGGGTTGCCTATACTGATTGTCAAAAATATATTCTTATACATATAATTGCATAACCGCAGAACGATGTATTAAGTCCACAGCTTTCTAGATCTGTTGAATTATTGTCTGCTGACATGAGTATTATCTTATATTATCCTATTTTTTTTTATCTATAAAGCCGTTTTTGTTTTAACTGGATAGACTAAATGACGAAACGTTTATTTATTGTTTGTTTTATTGCGATAATATTATCAGTGATAACAATCATGGCATCAAATTCGAGCTTGAATTATGCTTAAAAATGTGGAAAAAAATGCCCCCAAAAATACTGTCAACAAGTTAGAGAGATTATATTGAACCGTTCTATTATGTGAATGGCAAGCCAGGGCAAGCCGTCTGTTGCAATGTTAGCCTTTTTATTTGTATTGTTGAAATTATATTTGTATTTGCATTTTTAAAATCACAAGTTGAATTGATTACATTATATTTGTATTGGTAAAATCACATTTGTTTTGAAAATAATTGTATTTTATTTGTAAAACGTATATTAATATCGTTATTGAAAAATTTCCGAAGCAGGAAGAAGTTGAACAATAGCGACATGATGAGAATTGATAGATATGCAAATGAGGCTGAAAGAGCATATGTGTGCTTGATGCATATCATATCCATATCACACAAATATGCCATGTCACGTGATTAACTGCGACTTTTAAATATAAGCGTATAATATGCACATTGTAAATGCTATCAAACAACAAATATTTAGGAAGTTAAAATCACGATAGCCGCAATCACCACTGATGTAATGTTCTAAGGTGGCAATATTTCGCTCATCAGGTCTAATCGAAAAAAAAACACAATCAAGTTAGAGAAATGTGAACATGGCGAGTCAAACAAACCAAAGGAAACAATATAAAATAAAGGGGATACAAGAAATAAAATTACATGTTAAAGGGAACTAGTAAGAAAACAATGGCACAAATTGAAATAATAGATGGAAATAGTAACGAGATTCGAATGGCGGGAAAGGCCATGGTGTTATATAATGACAAAAACAGATAGGGTGAGTGGCATGTAAACATCATTCCAGGGTCAATGGACACGTCAGCTGGGTAGAAGAGATTTAATTATATTGATCATTGAAAATTATTTTAATATACGCACTTTGGTATCTAGGGAATTAGTGTCAAAACCCAACACGTTGAAGCAATGAATGGTTTGGTCGGTGGGGGGGGGTTGAAATGATGGGAAACTAGGGTGTTTTGGTTGCGCGTAATTAATGGTAGAGTACGAGAATTTTTAATATAATGGTTGTTAACCAACATATTGGAGTGCACGCAAGGTGTATTTGATAAGGTAAATCACGTTAGTTGTGGCGCGGAAGATGTGGGTACTAATATACTAATTTTCGTAATATTAATATAGTCAATCGCACCTCGTAGCCGCGATGTTTCAATTTTAACGTAAAATGTGGTTGTCACACTTGAAACAGCACGGCCACGAGGTGTGATTAACGTTTTATACCACGACAATCCGACGAAAGCGCAAAATAAATGCAAACACTGCTCCACCTATTGCTGTCATTGGAAAGAACATATACATAGGCACAAAACGCTTTGTCACGTGATGAAGAATGTATTGTAGAACCGCTACTTTCCTATTGTACTCATTAACAGTACGAAAGTTATGAAATCGTCTTGGAAAACTTGTTAATAAAAAAAGAAAAAAACTGTCATTCACATTTGAAATTTCAAACCCAGGGACACAATCTCAATTACAGCAGGTGGATGCACTACCTCCATGTGACGACTAAGCTATTGCGATTTCTGATGGAGTTCAAGGTCAAATGATATGCTGTGGATTATTCATGAGATAAGATGAAAACGCGTGCAATTCATTTTTTGTAGTTATGTTAATTACTATACGTTCACTGGTAATATCAGCGATTGCTGAATTTTATCGTTTTTATTTGTGTTATAATTGAGAAATTATTTTAAAACTCAGTGTACCATTATATCCGATAACACAGCCGGAACGACGGGTCACATGACCAAAAGTGGAATGACTAGGATGGCGTTGTGTGAAGTGTTTCCTGGTTCAGTAGTAATACCACTAGGTAGTAGCGATATAGCATTGAACTAGGTAGTTGGCAATTATCCCAGGGCATATGCCCAGCTTTTCCAACTCAATCGTTACCGGTACTGAAACGATGGCGTAGTTTATTCCAAACCAATTATAGTAAATGTAATTTCACGACAATTTTGTTGTCTAATACTTGTATATAATAATACATACACATAATATACATTCTAATATTCAGCATACTAGTATTGTTTTTGTTTTCAGTGTTTATCGACAAACCTGTTGCTGCTATATTTATTTAAATTTTCAACGTACATTCCTGCGCACGACGAAGACCGTAAGTAGACTGATATGTCAACGTAATATGACAGTTGTACATTACTCGAGATAATATCTACTCAAGACGAATGAATCATGGGATACAGAGTGGTGTCACGTATCAATTGGCTGTCAACAGTGACGTCACTGTATTCATATTTTGAAAATCTAGCATGACATATCAATATTAAAAATGATGAAAGTTTACTCAGACCTTTAAAACAATTTTTCCAGCTTTTTGTTTTCTTATTTTGCAGCTTTTATGGTGGTTGTTTACAAAGCTTGGTTTCTCCTGCTCCTTATTTACGCTCTGTATTTCATCACTTCGTTTATATTGCTCAATGGAATCGAAAAGGTATGTGCTAGAGCAGGGGCAGAGTATTATGGCATTTTATTAAAATAATTACCCAGGACAAGGTAATGTAAGATGTAATTATAATATATATTCTAAACAGGAAAATATGGGATGTAATTATAATATATGTTTTGCGTATCGTGTTTAATTTTTTATATATTGTTATTTTTCAGGCTTTCGTTGGAATGGTATTATTTTTTCTCACTTTCCTCGTCGCAGCCGAAATAATAGAAACAGGAATTATAGTTTTATTGCTAGTAGAAGGAGTAAGTGTCTCATTTATACTTAGTTACATAGAGTTAGTCTAGTCTAGTCTAGTCTAGTTCTAGTCTAGTTCTAGTCTAGTTCTAGTCTAGTCTAGTCTAGTCTAGTCTAGTCTAGTCTAGTCTAGTCTAGTCTAGTCTAGTCTAGTCTAGTCTAGTCTAGTCTAATCACGATATATCATTTTTTTTGCAGGGATTCACGTCTACAATTCATGTAGAATTCTCACTTTATATTGTAAAGTTAGTGCCCAATGTAAGTACCTGTATGTTTGGTTCTTGCACAACTTATACATAGTTATGTATTTAGACAAATAAATAGACAATAGACAAATAGACAAATGTCAATGTGTTTAAAAACCATATACATATATATTCTAGATTCTGATATTCGTCGTCGTGTTATCGTGCTATCAGGCGCTAAAAGAACAAAAAAGGAACGAAAAAAACTATGATGATCTTGTTAGAAAGGTATGTTACTATAGATAGATTCATATTGGAAATATGTCGCTCCACTGAATTTGTTATTGATTGTTAAAGCGTGGTGGTCGTCGCGCAGCGCGTGTTCGAATTTCATGCAAATAAACAATGTATTTTACACGCGTTCTATACGTCGCTATGAGTCCCATATCGAACAGAACGCGGTACGACAACTGCCGCCCTTCAACATTAAAATCTGTTAAAAACAAACATATGAACCGTAGCGATTTAAATCTTCATTTGAATACAACCGTAACGATTTAAATCTGAATACAAATACAACCGTGACGATTTAAATCTGAATACAAATACAACCGTGGCGATTTAAATCTGCATTTGAATACAGACGTAGCGATTGAAATCTGCATTTGAATACAACCATAGCGATTCATATCTGCATTTGAATACAGATGTAGCGATTTAAATCTGCATTTGAATACAGATGTAGCGATTTAAATCTGCATTTGAATATAACCGTAACGATATAAACCTAAATACAAATACAACCATAGCGATTCAAATCTGCATTTGAATACAACCATAGCGATTCAAATCTGCATTTGAATACAACCATAGCGATTTAAATCTGCATTTGAATATAACCGTAACGATTTAAATCTGAATACAATTACAACAATGGCGATTTAAATCTGCATTTGAATACAACCATAGCGATTCAAATCTGCATTTGAATACAACCATAGCGATTTAAATCTGCATTTGAATATAACCGTAACGATTTAAATCTGAATACAATTACAATAATGGCGATTTAAATCTGCATTTGAATACAGACGTAGCGATTTAAATCTGCATTTGCATACAGACGTGGTGATTTAAATCTGCATATGAATACAGACGTAGCAATTTAAATTTGCATATGAATAAGGACGTTGCGATTTAAATCTGCACTTGAATACAACCGCAGCGAGTTAAATCAGTATTTGAATACAACAATAGCGATTTAAATCTGCATTTGAATACAACTGTAGCGATTTAAATCTGCACTAAAATTACAGCCGTAGCGATTTAAATCTGCTTACGAATACAACCGTCGCGATTTAAATCCGCATTTGAATACAACCGCAACGATTTAAATCTGTATTTGAATACAACTATAGCGATTTAAATCTGTATTTGAATACAACCATAGCGATTTAAATCTTCATTTGAATACAACCTTGACGATTCAAATCTGCACTAAAATTACAGCCGTAGCGATTTAAATCTGCATTTGAATTCCTACTGTAGCGATTTGAATCTGCATATAAATACAGACGTAGCAATTTAAATCTGCATGTGAATACAGAAGTAGCAATTTGAATCTACATTTCAATACAACTGTAGCGATTTAAATCAGCATTTGAATACAACTGTAGCGATTTAAATCTGCATTTGAATACAGACATAGCAATTTAAATCTGCATAGTCTGCGGAAATAAACAGAGAGTCACAGGAGTGATATATATACCAATATTGGCATAATCAAATAATCAATTGAATAAGTAATTCAAATCTCATCATTACCCACTTATTCACAACAAGTAATCATACTTATTCAGAGAGTACTGAAGTACAGTCTCATCATCACAGTCCCTTCATCACAGAATGATAGAAGCACTGTGACGTAGGAAATGGAGCGTTCATCCCCGACACTCGTAACCCTATGAATATATTTGGGACTGTTGGGACAGCGGGTTTCCTGTAAACTCATGGGTTCTAATAATAATACTATTTCTGGCATGTTTATTCAGTATGTGTATTCTTCTCTTATTATTTCGATGTAACGTCTATGGTCTGCCTTTTTTTCATTTGCAATCCATTTTCTTTTGCATAACGACTGTCATCTGCTCTACTGACGTCACCGAAATATGCTAATCCTAACTTACTTATGGTGTTTAAGCGTGACTGTTCTGTGATGACTTGACTGAGCATATACTGGTTAGTTTTCTTTGCTGCCCAAGAAATTCGCATAAGTCCCAAAAGAGTTGGATTCATGTATCTATGTCAGATGATAAAACAGCAATATTAATCTTAGCTTGAATTATTTATTTTTAAAGACAAACCACTATTTGAGTTCGGCGAAAGTTATAAATTGCGCCATATAAATGGTTGTAGGAATGAAACAACGAACATACTTACTCTTCTTTACGTGGATCACATCGAAGACACTTATCGCAAAGTAACACGTCTAATCATAACAACAACGCGCTGACTCTTCTCTGTTTCCTATAGGGCCTGATCGTACCCGGCAGTCCGATGCCAAGTGCAGTTGACCGTGATGACGAAGGTGGATTTGATGAAATTTACCAACCTAGACCGAGTACTAGCGGTAATAACAACAATGCCAACCTGTCACAGCTAGATAGCGCAAGTGCGTATATTGACAGTGGGGGCGCTAGAGCAGTGTAATGGTGATAACGTATCCGGAACCCAAAATATTATATGATTCAAAATACTAAAATTAAACTTTTGAAATTATGTAAAATTTAATATTTATTGATGTGAATAGTCTGTTATTTATAGTTATTCTAGCATTATAACTGCCAAATACGAAAGTATGCCAAACTTCTCACATGATTAAAAAGTTGTCCGAGCCATACTATAAACCATTGTTGACAGCTTAACACGTCCAAAATAAATATTTTTATTATTAATATTTTAATATGTTATCATATATTGAAATTATATATAGTATTTAAATATACAATTAAGGTCGTAGTTGTCGCTTTATATTTGTATAATATCTATAAGTAGGATAAGAGGGATGGTTACTGAAAAAATACTGGGAAACTGCAATTCTGTATTGTGTTTTTAAAGTTTAAAAAGTATGGGTACTTCCATTTATTATTTAAACATTATTTACAACATTATTTTGTTATATTCGGGATAGCAGCAATATATAGCTGTTATTGTTCGGAATTATTCTCGTATTGTCCATATTTTACAATAAAAACAGGAAATGCAACTTTGTATTGTTTTATGTCACGTGTCTTATTCCCCTAATATTTAGGTTTGATTCAACTTTGTGTCTCTGTACGGAAAATATATGTAAATAAGATGGTAAGTTCAATGGGTATTTTTAGCGGTGATTCTGATTTTAAATAAAAATGTTAACTGATTTGTAACTCACTGAAAAAATACTACATCCACCAAAATTCGATTCTCTGCATAATATTGTAAATTATGTCATGGAAAACACAATATAATCATAGGTCATAGGTCATAGGTCGTTATTTAGGTATATGTATGTGTAACTGGAACTAAATTATGCAGCATATTATTCTCAATATTTATTTGTTGCCAATAATTCTAATTACTGTCGTTTTAACAACAGTTCAAGGCAGAGAACGTTTGTACATAATTATGTCGTGGTAGTAAAAACAAAACATCGTGGCGCTGTTCTGTGATTTGGGTTTTATACACACAATACGTATAATAGGATAGCTTGGGCAGACTAGAGCCGTGGATAGATTTCAACCAGTAGAAGACGTACTGTGTTCAAGTTTGTAAAGGTGCACACAATGAAATTGTTGCATATTCATTTACACGCTCTGTACACCTGCAGAATGCGCTTAGCACAGTGAGTGGAGTTTGGGCATGCGTAGAACGCACCTGCATCGCCAGTGAAAGTAGACGCCTAGTCGGTGACTAACTTTGGGCGAGGTCAGCTTTTATCCGTGCCATTTGTTGTTACTTTCCGATGTTATAAGTGATATCAACAACCTTACAACATGCCGTTGATGTATAGCTGTGGGTGCTGCAGCCTTAAGGCCGGCAACATGGTGTGTTGTATATTAATACTGGTAAGTGTGAGGACAATGGTACGGGGTTTATGTGGTGATCGATATATCCCATTTACGGTCCTTAACGCCGTGACTGGGTAGCCATTGCACTGCCCTTATATTCACTGCGAGTGATAGTAGTACACATGTCATTAATGTATTGTTATAATTTCACGCCAAGGCATTGTACTAATTGTGTACATGTATATGTTATGCCATCGAACTGTCGACACGACAGTACAACAATAAAATCGACCTCAATTATAAAAAGGTGGTATTTATAAGTACCGCTTGCCTGTCTGTTTGTTGGCTTACTACCACGTGATGTCGTCGGATCTGCGACATATAGCACCATATACATTCACTGACTTGTTACTTAGCTGAACGATTGCCACGTCACCTTTACTGTATGTGATATATTCGTCGGTATACGGCTTCTGGTATTACGCAATGTGAGGAGGGTGCGGTTTTCATTCGTAGGGTTCCACCCATCGAGGGTTTATTTTACGACAAAACCGAATCATAAAATAATCACCGTCATTCCATCTTCATAAAATAACCTATTTCTGCAATTTGTTCAAATTATTGGTTCAATTTTGGAGGTAAATAATCTTCACGGGAGAAGTGTATCCCAAGCCATACAAATACCTTAGCGCCATTTTGAATAATTAACACCTGTTAACAATATAGGAGAATTCTATTCAGCATAATAGAGGTCAACAGATCGCACAACATGGAGGCCCAAATAATGATCAATGTGTAAATAAACAAACAAAAGTATAGTCTTATTTGAGGCGCATCGAGAAGATTTTCGGACAAATTATTATACCCAGCCGTACTAATTTTAATAATTACCTGTACGCTTTCATTCAGTGAGTTTAACTTAAGGTAGCGAGAAGGGAAATTTTCACTTTTTTCTTGATTTTTCAAAAATTGATAAAACGGTTACTTTAGACCTTGATACATCACCCCAGGTTTACAAAAGATCGAAATTGCGAAATAACGTTGCTCAAATTAGTGTTTTAAAACACTAGCAGAAAAGACTACAACTGCCGTTTCGTGGATATTTGCATAGTGTTTATCTTTGGAAGGAATTAAATGATAAAATCTTATCTGTATATTCTGTTGTTGACGATTCTGATATAACGGGTGATAAGCTTCCAGTTGCAAACAATGCGTGTTTATCTAACGTCCATTGTCAGCATTATTGTCAGTCGAGACTTCGTCGGAGAAACATGCTCATACAGTACTCATTTCGCCCAACCTTCCGCTTTTACATCGACCGCTTATCGCTTAATTTCCGACCACGCGGTCTTGTCCGACCGGAAACCGACCGCATTTTAATCGCGTTTTTTTTCGCTCGCTGGCTCATTGAAAACATTGACCGCTCGCCCAAACACTTAAAACTGGCACATGGGTGGTCGAAATGGTGGTTTTGATAGTAAAGTGTTAACATACAACTAGTATTAACTATTATTACATTATGCACTCATGTTTGCTTTGTTGGGGATCTTACTAACTTTCTAACTACTGATTAATAATATTTCATTGTTGCATACGGTAAGCACGATTCACAGGGAATTGTAATCAAATATCTAAATATGACTGTTACTTTGGCAACGTAGATTAAGGACATTTCAGGTCAGATTTAAGCTAGCTATTGCTTTCGAAGCTTTCATGTTTGACAATTGTCATTTATATCATATTATGTAAATGAGTGCGATTAGTCGTATGTTGCCAGGATACGCAGCCATTTATATAATTAGGGACGCTATGAACTAGCAACACACGCCTGCCATTCCGTACGATTTTGATTTTTTGGCGCTTCTATTGTAGCAAATATCAGTCGGAGCGGAGGACATTTATTTATTTTCGTAATATGGCGGCGAGGTTCAAGTTCGATCATTTATAAAATAAAATACGAGACAAAATAATACATAGTTTGACCGACTATGTTTTCAGAGGTTTGGATAGTGATTGGGCTCACACCCCCCCCCCTCAGAAATTCAGAAAGTGTCAATGACGAACATGTAGCCTCAATAATCGTTCAAAAGACCACACAACATGGCAGCCCATGTTAATAAATTAAAAGCAAACTATCCGTACCTGTCAAACACAAGACATACAACAATGTCAATAATGTAGTTACACGCCCGATTAACACTCAGTTACTTAATAGTTACTTCACAATTTAATTTATTGAAAATAGAATAATAGCTGATAAACACTAATTTGTTTCAGATTGAAATGGTGATTAATTTGGTGATCTACGTCTACGGAGTGCTACAACTTCTCATGGAGAAGCCAAATCTCGATGAAGAACTGTACATCGGTGAGTTGTGTATCCCTCTACGTCAACTAACATACGTTACATTTGTTCATGTACGAACACTTGTGGTAAATTATAAGGAAAATTATACGTATTGCGACTTGCCCGTAATGAAAGACAGAACTCAACAATTACTAAATCTTCTCTGAACAAATGTAGTAAATACTATGTTATTACTCTCAATTATATGTATTCGGGTTACACTACATTGTCATGATACTCATCAAAACTATTCACACAAGGCCTTTGTAACGCAGAAAATATGACACCAGGCAGATATGAAGTCACCATGCGTTCTTTTAATTTCCAATATGAGCAACTATGAAAGTTAACACGACTGAAACCCTAACCAGTACAATTCAGTGACGCCCTATATGATTACATAGTTTCTTTTTACACGGAAACACACCGAAAGTGAATTCATAAACGTGGAAAGTAGATGGGGAAGTACTGCACGGGTTGTCGTCCCTCAGTGGTTTCAAAGCGATGTTCACGCCGCAAATCTCAGTGACCAACTGACTGGATGTCAAGTTGAACACCACTGCGCATGCGCGAAGTAAATTACAAGGCTAATTAGAATGTGAATACATTTGACCTGTCACACCTTCATAACTCTATTACATTACGCTGAATACCACGTGTTTGCTTACAGGAATGGAAGTCGCATACTACGTGTTGATTGGTCTATTTGTTATCGTCATGGTTATGACTAGTATATATTTCTGTGGGGCAGTCAAGGTAGGTTGTGTTTTAATATTATTCGTAATAAATGTACCACTGTCATGCTAGTATCATCATTGCCACACCCTCGTCCCGGCCCGGTAATGTGTTTTGAATACTGTGAGATAGTTCGAACTATCACCTAAATCTACTTTTTCCGTCTTCTAATGTCCCTTTATTTAGAAGTGCCATCTTCTGGCCATATGTATACTGTTGGGTAAAGAAAGTATCGTTTTACCAAATATATTTTATACAATTTTATTAAACACATCGTTTCATTATTACGTCATATTATAGCTACTATCTATATAAATGTGTATTATACTGAATGTATTGTGTTTATGTAATCACAGGGGCATCCTGGTTTGTTGGTTGGTTGGATCGTAACTCTAGTAATATACATGGTATTAGAATTAGCCGCCACAGTGTATCTAACTTATATCTATCACAACTTTCTTGGTGTAAGTAGAACAGCTTCAATTATTTATTGTTTGTATGTATGCACTGTTTCTGTCACTTGTCAATTCATGTAGTCCTTGCTTGACTAAATGCTTCATCAAGTAAATCATGTACATAGTGTTCTGTTGCTGACTTCATTTTGAACCCCATTTTTATTTAGTTAGCGATTCAGAAACGTATCACGAAACATTTCTATTTGTTAAAATCTACACAAGTCATGATTACGATTCGTATTGTTAGTTTGTGTCCACGATGTAAAAGCTAGTTTGTGGGAGTTCTCCAAATTGTTTTATTATTTTGTAGATTTATTTTTCCACACACTGCAAATGCGAGGCAATTTAGTGTTGAAAACGTACATTTTTATACGCATACTGCTCGTGCTCTTATTTCTTGCTTACTTTTTTGTTTTCCAGGGGTTGGAGAATAATATTTTCGCCCTCTCGTTATTAATATGGTATATACTTCGGACATTACTTCATGTAAGTAAACAGTCAACGATTATACGATCTGATCCGACCCACCCCGACCAGCGCGATTAAATTGAATACAATCCGATTAGTGCAATGTCGGTTAAGCAATACTATATATATATATATATATATATATATATATATATATATATATATATATATCAGTTCTTTTTATTTAGATCATGGCAATTTTTTGGTCAGAGCGCCCTCTAGTTTTGTGGAGAATCATGTTCATTTGGAATGCTCTGATTGGATGGAAGTTCAAGCCTAGCAAGGTGTGATAGAATTGGCCTGTTATGTTCAGATTCAAATAAGCATGAACCACTAATTTGACAGGGAAGTGATACTTATAATGCAGCAAGCTGTTCTAATTGCTGTTGTGGTAGAGTTTTTCTATTTTCCTGTCAAATGCATTTATTGGTCCACTGAAAAATGAAAATAATGTTCCCTGTAACTTAGACTCTTATTGATCAAGGCATTTTAAAAATCATGGGTGTTAACTCCCCTCAAGTTATGACCCGTTGTCCCCTACAGAATAATGGTTGCATCTAATATTAAAATAAAGATGGCGGAGTATAGCGTTGATTCATCTCGTTCTACTCTGGATTACTTGGAGTCAATAAAGATCCTAGAAAGTTAGTATTTATATGCCTGTGTGTTTTTTTTTTCACTGTCTTTGACTTTCCCAGTATGTTTGTTGCTGTTGACAACAATTCAGTCCTCTGCCAGGCTTCAGTCAATGTTTTTCTTCACTACCTACCCAACTCCTCGTCGGGCACTATGTAGCTGGTGTGGTATATTTATCACAGACAGTAGGGCAATTGTCACATTTAGTGCTCCAAGAAAATATTCTCTGTCCATGTGTATTTATATAAATAAATGCAGTTTCTTTGGCTTGAATAACGATCACTGGCTTCGTACATACAGGTATACTGGTTTACCTGTTTCTAGTTGAAATATAGCCAATCTTATTAACCAAGACAGTTGGACATTTGCCACATGTCACAACACTCATTTCCAAGTGCCATAGCTTGAAACAAGTAGTCAAATCTGATATTGGCTGGAGCTTTAGTTTATATGGACATGGTAAATGGCAAACTAGATGGTCAGAAAGTAATAAAAATAATCACAGCTTTACTCCACCCACCCCACTATGAAGTAAAAGGCTGTTTATAAGGCCATGTATGATGGTTTCATTTTTCTTATGGAAAACAATTTTAATTAAAAACTTCTATGCTCCTGTACCCAACCGTGGGGGTTCATCACACTAAACAACAGGTGTCACTATTACTAAGATAAATGTACTTTTTTTTCATTAAAATTACTGATATATATATATATATATATATATATATATATATATATATATATATATATATATATATATATATATATATATATATATATATTGGTATCGATACAATTAATATGCATAATTCTGATAACGCCGTAGCAGTTAACATGAATATATAAATTATATTCCACATACTTATATTTTATACGTTTTTGTTGTCTGTATAGATGCTCTATCTTATGAGTGCAGTTTCACAATACCAAGAAATTACAGAAAAACAGAAGAAAATACATCGGCACAGGATGCTGCAAGATTCCGAAGAACACGGAGTTTGAAGGCGTGTCACCTGAGTCCTCAGTGAACACCAGGAATTATTGTATTTGGTTGAACATTTAAATACACGTTATATTACATTATATCTTTGTCGCAGGAAGTGTCATCGTTTTGTGATTTTTAAACTAACCAAATCGCGTCTTATTCTAAATGCCATTATAGTTGTCTATATGCAGCGTGTTTGAATACTACATATTTTACGCAGCACAGTTTCCAATGAGTCAGCAAATTTTTCAACTGCAAGTCCATACGATTCATAATTTGCTATGTGCGTCCATGTTGAAACATTACATATAATTTTTTGTCAATTATATTGTAAATTCAATTTCTATAAAGTTTGATAGGAATAGTAGTTACTCCATGAGATAATGTCTAGTTTGTTGACTATAGTGTATCTCAATTCCCCACCATAAGTAGTATTTCAACTACTAAAAAACACGTCAAGTTTATTTATGCCTAATGTTCATTTTAATTTCGTGGGGCAAATCTCGTGTCATATATACTCACGTTTTATATCGTTTTAATAACAAAATATGTAAACTTTTAACAAGAAGATTATAGAAATATCACATTAATATATTTGCCATTTACGTGTGATATTTTTGTACCGAAATAAAATTTATTAAAATACAATGTTTATTACAATCGTTATTTTGAAACTTATTTCGTTTCCATTCATATTTATGAAGTATGAATATTCCTCCCCTATACGTCTTTTTTCAAGTTTGGGATAATAATATGTTAGTGATAAGTTGCAAAGCCATCCGCTTGACAGAGTGGACTGAGTTTGCCTCTACACAATACTACATGACTGAAGTAGTATTACTGTTGCGAGTTCTGTTCCCATTAATAAGCATGCGAATTGGTGAATGGTTACAAGGACGCTCCTCGCCATGTGATAGCAGCAGGCCTTCAAAGACTAATATTCTCTCTGACTCTCTGATGACGCAAATAACCAAAACAGTCGGCACACACAGACTGCCACAAGCTAACAGTGTAGTTATGCTGCCGCTATTGCTTTTTGAAAGCAAGTTGAAAAACGTTATGCTGTTACGTAATATTAAGAGATCACTTGTTACAAAATAAAGCAGTTGTTAGAGCACCAATGTGTTGATTAGTAACCTTCTAAGTAAATTGGTATACACCTTTTTGGTGAGTGTGCAGATATATTCCCACTACTATAATTAAATGGTACTGTAATGCATACCAACTTAATCAACAAATATTTTGTTATGAAAATGTTTATGCTATTCTCTTAGTTGAAGTATTATCTGTTCACCTCCCGATTGCGGTTTAGTTTGGAGAAAAATATTATTGAACGTGCTACCTGTGATCGGCCTGACAAGGCTCGGCCATCTTTGCCAGCCGAGGCCCGTTTCTTCGGCACAGTTTTATACATTGTCATATTCTTTTCAGTCAACG